TGTATTGATGGAGTAGGTGGGTGTGGAGGAAGGTAGAGGGTGTACTGATGGAGTAGGTGGGTGTGGAGGAAGGTAGAGAGCGTATTGATGGAGTAGGTGGGTGTAAAGGAAGGTAGAGGGTGCATTGGTGGAGTAGGTGGGTGTGGAGGAAGGTAGAGGGTGTATTGATGGAGTAGGTGGGTGTGGAGGAAGGTAGAGGGTGTATTGATGGAGTAGGTGGGTGTGGAGGAAGGTAGAGGGTGTATTGATGGAGTAGGTGGTCGTGCAGGCGGTAGAGGGTGTATTGATGGAGGGATTGTAGGGGTGGTAGAGGGTGGAGGGTGTATTGATGGAGTAGGTGGGTGTGGAGGAAGGTAGAGAAGTGTATTGATGGAGAAGGTGGGTGTGGAGGAAGGTAGAGGGTGCATTGGTGGGGTAGGTGGGTGTGGAGAAGGTAAAGGGTGTATTGATGGAGTAGGTGGGTGTGGAGGAAGGTAGAGGTGCATTGGTGGGGTAGGTGGTCGTGGAGGGAGGGTAGAAGTGTAGCGTATATGGCGGCGGGGGTTCGTGCGGGGAGCGTAGAATGTGTGTTGATGGGGTATGTGGTCGTGGGGCACGTACAAGGTGTATGAGTGGTGGGGCACGTAGGGAAGGGTAGAGGTGTTTGGGTGGTGGTGGGGGGGGTACAGGAGGTGTATCGGGGGTCTTGGGGAGGAGAAGTGTATTGGTGGGATAGGTGGTCGTAGAGGAGGGTATAGGGTGTGTTGATGGGCGGAAGGGGTGGGGGAGAGGGTAGAGGAGTGTTGACAGGGAGGGCGGGCACTGTCTGCGTGTCGTTAATGCTTGAACACTAAGATAGCACGCCGTAAAATGCTCAACTCAGACATAGTATACTAGAACAAGTATACTTGCCCGGGGCCGTCCAACCTTGTCATATCCCTTACTCACCTCATACAGTTTCGGGTTACGTACAGGTTTTTCGGAAATGACTTGAATAATATTTGCATGGATTGCCAGTTGATCCGAGACTGCTCTCTCCTTCATTTATATTTTTATTAAAATCTTAAAACCATCCATGTTTGTTTGGTGTAAATAACGTATGTGTGTTCATGTATTATTACAAGCCACGAAGCCGCAAGTGTATCTGTCAAAATATGATAAACGATGGCAACTCCCCTCGTAAAGCGATATGCGAACAAACGAATGCTTGCAGTCAAGGTTTCATGTGAGACTTAGAGCCTGAATCGCAACGAAATTCTGTTCTGGTTCAAAAGGCATCAAATACGCAAGCACAATGTATTATAAACAATTTTTGGCGTTTATGCCTGTAATTCACTGTGCGTGCATGAGTGGCTGAATGCATTCAAGACCCTGTCTCTCTTTGTTACGTGTTTACGTAATGTTGTTCTTTCCTGTGTCTATGTGAGTGTCCCCTATATGTAACAACGAAACTGTCTCCCACCTTGTACGTGTCTACATGATTCTCCCCCTTATACGCTTCTTCGCAACTGTCTCCCTCCCTGTACGCATGTACGTGACTATCTCCCTATTATACATGTGTACGTGACTATTTCCCTCCTATACATGTGTACGTGACTATTTCCCTCCTATACATGTGTACGTGACTATCTCCCTCCTATACATCTGTACGTGACTGTCTCCTCCCTATACATGTGTACGTGACTATCTCCCTCCTTTACATGTGTACGTGACTATCTCCCTCATACATGTGTACGTGACTATCTCTCTCCTATACATGTGTAGGTGACTATCTCCCTCCTATACATATGTACGTCACTATCTCCCTCCTATACATCTGTACGTGACTGTCTCCTCCATGTACATGTGTACGTGACTGTCTCCTCCCTATACATGTGTACGTGACTATCTCCCTCCTATACATGTGTACGTGACTATCTCTCTCCTATACATGTGTACGTGACTATTTCCCTCCTGTACAAGTGTACGTGACTATCTCCCTCCTATACATATGTACGTCACAATCTCTCTCCAATACATGTGTACGTGACTGTCTCCTCGAAGTACATGTGTAGGTGACTGTCTCCATCCCTGTACATGTGTACGTGACTATCTCCATCCCTGTACATGTGTACGTGACTGTCTCCTCCCTGTACATGTGTACGTGACTCTCTCCTCCCTGTACATCTGTACGTGACTGTCTACCTCAAAGTACATGTGTACGTGACTGTTTCCTCCCAGCATGTATGTACGTGACTATCTCCCTCCTATATATGTGTACGTGACTATCTCCTCCTAATACATCTGTACGTGACTGTCTCTTCCCAGTACATGTGTACGTGACTGTCTCCCTCCCAGTACGTGTGTTCGTGACTATCTCCCTCCTATACATCTGTACGTGACTGTCTTCTCCCTGTACATCTGTACGTGACTGTCTCCTCCCTGTACGTGTGCACGTGACTGTCTCCTCCCTGTACATCTGTACGTGACTGTCTTCTCCCTGTGCGTTTGTACGTGACTGTCTCACTCCTAGTAAATCTGTACGTGACTGTCTCTTCTCAGTACATGTGTATGTGGCTATCTCCCTCCCATACATGCGTACGTGACTGTCTCCTCCCAATACATCTGTACGTGACTGTCTTCTCCCTGTGCGTGTGTACGTGACTGTCTCCCTCCCATACATGTGTACGTGACTGTCTCCTCCCAATACATCTGAACGTGACTGTCTCCTCCCTGTACGTGTGCACGTGACTGTCTCCTCCCTGTACATCTGTACGTGACTTTCTTCCTCTTGTACATGTGTACGTGACTGTCTTCTCCCTATATATGTGTACGTGACTATGTCCCTCCTATACATGTGTACGTGACTATGTCCCTCCTATACATGTGTACGTAACTGTCTTCTCCCTATATATGTGTACTTGACTGTCTCCCTCCTATACATGTGTTCGTTACTGTCTCTATCCCAGTACATCTGTACGTGACTGTCTCCTCCCAGTACATGTGTAAGTGACTGTCTCCTCCCAGTACATCTGTACTTGACTGTCTCCTTTCAGTACATCTGTACGTGACTGTCTCCTCTCAATATATGTGTACGTGACTGTCTCCTCCCAGTACATGTGTACTTGACTGTCTACCCTCCTATACTCCTGTACTTGACTGTCTCCTCCCAATACATGTGTACGTGACTGTCTCCTCTCAGTATATGTGTACGTGACTGTCTCCTCCCAATACATCTGTACGTGACTGTCTCCCTCCCAATACATGTGTACGTGACTGTCTCCTCTCAGTATATGTGTACGTGACTGTCTCCTCCCAATACATCTGTACGTGACTGTCTCCCTCCCAATACATGTGTACGTGACTGTCTCCTCTCAATATATGTGTACCTGACTGTCTTCCTCCTAATACGTGTGTACGTGACTGTCTCCCTCCCAGTACATCTGTACTTGACTGTCTACCCTCCTATACATGTGTACGTGACTGTCTCCTCCCAATACATCTGTACGTGACTGTCTCCTCCCAGTACATCTGTACTTGACTGTCTCCCTCCCAATACATGTGTAGGTGACTGTCTCCTCCCAGTACATCTGTACTTGACTGTCTCCCTCCCAATACATGTGTACGTGACTGTCTCCTCCCTGTATAAGTGTACGTGACTCTTACCATTACTGTACGTGTGCGTACGTGCGCATATTTGCGTACAGGGTGTACACATTCATGCATGCATGTATATCCATGTTCTTTCTATACCAACGTATATATGGGTCCAATTCTGTTTCTGAACAGACGTTGGACCTCTACCTGTATAGGAGTGCACGGCCGCATTCACAGATAGCCGTATTCACAGATAGCACTCACACAGGCACTAACAACCACGCAACGCGAGACTAAATCCACGTTGTCTATTTGAACAGTAAACACTCCGCCGTGGGAAGGTGGAACTCCAACGAATTCCTCTCCAGTGAACAAGGTACGTCGAATCAACTACCCCGCGAGCATTGTCAATAGTGTAAGTGAGTCTCACACTGGGGTCACAACAATCAACAGCCAGCCGAAAAAACAGCCAAGTCATACAGAAAAATACTTGTGTTCTCATGTGCCAGACTTGAATCGGCTCTGTGTGGGAATCCACCTGCGTCTGAACGCCGCGGAATAGTGAGCCCTATTGATTTTTGTAAGTCAGTATGTTCCTGTTAGCTGAACATTCTGTTTGTCTGTAGGACTATATGTATACATGTATGTGTCTCCATCCGTGCGTATATGTGAACTGTACATATAACTTATATGTATGTGTGTGTATATGTGAGTGTGTTTGTATTCACATCATAGTTGTTATGAGTGAATGAGTGAGTGAGTGAGTGAGTGAGTGGCAGCAAGAGGACGACGGCGTCTGTGGTGACGCACAATCAGATTGATAATAATGCAGTCCCCATTTTCTTTGGATCTTAAGGCTCATATGTGTGACCATCCTGGCCCATGTTTTCCAAGGCTATCGCGGTTGTCCTTTCAAGCCCTGTCAGATTGTACAGGATAGTTTGAGAGGTTCTTGGAAAGTGAAAACAGTATCTAGTTCCATGCTCTTTGTCAAGACTACACAAATACAACAGCTGATTGCTGAAACTTAGCAACACGAACGATACTGAGGATATTTATAAGAACACAAATTCAAATTTCTTTTCTTCATAATTGAATTTAACATAAATTGCTTGAGACAGTTACAGCGAAGTCACTTGTATGAATGTTCAAGGGTTATTTATCGCAAGAGGATAGATACACAGTACCCTTGTTAATCGAGGAAGGAAGTGGGCAGATCCAACAAGTATCAGGAATTGGGATACAGCATTACGGGACGCAAACTGAGGTGGTTTCAACGAATTAAACATCATCAAAGTAATAACGATATTTCAGCTACGTACCAATATACCATTTCTTTTCTTATTTTCAGCCAGAATGTAACATGTTTGGTATCCCGTGCCCGACAGGTTAGTTACATGGAAACGGACAAAGAAACAAACAGTAAGATGGCAGTCTGTACTCACAAGCGTTAACAAGGTGTTGGCGACATAGATGTAAATGTCCTGTTTAGGATCAAAGCTATCAGTGCCGTGTGCTTGGAGTCTTTCTATCAGATGGTTGATCTCCCCGTAGATGGTGTCTCGAGATGTGGACTCTTGAATGTGAAAGCAGAAATTCAGTTATTTGAGTTTCACACCATTTTTAAACATTGAAGCTCTTACACTTCTGTTGAGAAAATTGACCAGTTCACAAAATGTTTGAAAATTGACCAGGTCACAAAATGTTTGAAATTGACCTGTTCACAAAATGTTTGAAAATTGACCAGTGCACAAAATGTTTGAAAATTGACCAGTTCACAAAATGTTTGCAAACTGACCTGTTCACAAAATGTTTGAAAATGGACCAGTTCACAAAATGTTTGAAAACTGACCAGTGCACAAAATGTTTACATGGACTAACATGATGCTAATAGCCCACAGTGTGTTCAAACCCAAGATCTGCAGATCCTGATACGCAATGCCCCAACTGAAATAAAACTCTAAGAATCTACTTGTAACTCATCACAACTTGCATTTGTATGTATGTATGTATGTATGTATGTATGTATGTATGTATGTATGTATGTATGTATGTATGTATGTATGTATGTATGTATGTATGTATGTATGTATGTATGTATGTATGTATGTATGTATGTATGTATGTATGTATGTATGTATGTATGTATGTATGTATGTATGTATGAGCGTTATAAAGTGTGTGTGTGCATGAGTATTTTTGGCGTGCGTGCGTGCGTGCGTGCGTGTGTGTGGTTGCCGTGTGTCTGAGTGATCCAATCCAGCATCCCTCACAATGTGTTTCGCTGAAAAACCCAAAATCAAATTAGTTTTATCTGGCATTTATCCTTCCCATACCGTATCAGAATATCAAATAGTCGGTATCACACTCAAAAGATAGCCGGAACATCTCACCAGACACATTGTGAGGTCGACACTCACTCAGTATGATAAACGCGTCAACTGTTAGTATTAATTTCACATTTTGATAAGAGTCGGACACATGTGAGATCATTAAAGCAGCAGTGTCCGAGACAGCTGGAACCTAACACAGAAATGACCCTACGTGGGTGTGCCCTAACACTTAATCACGAAAACTATATATGAACATGCGTATCAAATGTTCCATCTCAATCTTCTGCGACCCAAACGAAGTGTGGTGGCCTCTCACTTAGCCAGATTCTGTCAAAACAGATCTCTCACATAGCCAGAGTGCAATGTTGTCTTAACAAGACCTTTTGAGGAAGACTGTGTCTAAGTGAGAGTGAACCCTCTGTGTATATCATCTATGAAGAAGCATGCCTTAAAAAGGACATGTGCTGATTGTGTATTAATATAGACTGAATATAACACAAGAAGTCATGGCAACAATTACAGGCAGACAAGTCAGATATAATCATGTTACACTGTGATATTTTTAAGCACATATCTAACTCCACGTTAAGATGCAAATGGGAAGATGCTCGATCGGAAGGTTAAATTGGCTGAAGATCGATCTCATTGAATTTTCATAAAAAATCTAATTAGAACTTTAAAACTTCAAATTGAAGGGTCGGTGGGGTAGCCTAATGGAAGCGTTCGCTCGTCACGCCGAAGACCCGGGTTCGATTCCCCACATGGGTACAATGTGTGAAGCTCATATCTGGTGTCCCCCGCCGTGATATTGCTGGAATATTTGCTAAAAGCGGCGTAAAACTAAACTCACTCACTCATACGAATTGAAAATTTGAACAGCTCAAAATATTAAATCTAACTTTTTCACGTTTCATAAGTTTTCGTCCCAGTCACTTTCTGTATATTGTGGCCGAAATGAGTACAATTAGTAAATGCATAAAGTGAGTGAGTAATCTGAGTTTCCGCCGGTTTTAGGGATATTTCAGCAATATCACGGCGTCGGACACCGAAAATCGACTTCACACATTGTACCAATGTGGGGGAGTCGAACCCGGGTCCGGCGTGACGAGCGAACTCTTTAACCACTGGGCTACCCCACCGCCCCAGTTCGTTATAACCGTAGTTACTGTATTACTTAACTTACATGACCATGTAGGATAGCCTGGTGGTCAAAGCGTTCGCTCGTCACGCCGAGGATCCGGGTTCGATTCCCAACATGGGGGCAATGTGTGAGCCCATTTCTGGTCTCCCCTGCCGTGATGTTGGTGTAATATTGCTAAAACCGGATTAAATCTATACTCACTCACTCACTCACTCACTCACTCACTCACTCACTCACTCACTCATTCACTCACTCACTCACTCACTCACTCACTCACTCACTCACTCACTCACTCACTCACTCACTCACTCACTCACTCACTCCATGACCACAGTTACGTTTAATCTCTTATTGTAAGCACTCACCGCTTCCATGAGCCCGTATAACTTGGTGTAGAATTTTCCGGAACTCGACTACCTTCCGAGTGTAAGGCTGGAAGATGATGTCACTTGGCAGGATATATTGTGCTGGGAATATTGGTGGTCTCTCTGCAAACACGTCCGCCAGAGTTGAGGATGCAAAAGCTTCTTTCATCAGGTCATACGAGTCAATCACAACTATGTTACAACCAAAGACGTTCAGACGGAATATGCCATTGAACCTTTTTCTGAATTTCTCGACACTGTGGTGAAGGCGCACAATGTCAATCTGGTGAAAGTTGCCAATGATTGGAAGACCTGAAGGACCCGGGGGAAGGTTGGTCTTCTTCCCCCAGAAGAGGTATTTCAAAGAAGCGGCAAGAACACATGTTGCCACTCCAACGAGGATCAACTCCATGTCACCAGTCCTGGGTCAACAGTGGAATCTGCAAGGAGATGGTCATTTTAGTCGCTCGCCAATATGGGTGAGTGAGTGAGTTTAGTTTTACGCCGAACTCAGCAATATTCCAGCTGTATGGCGGCGGTCTGCAAATGATCGAGTCTGGACCAGACAATCCAGTGATCAACAGCATGAGCATAGATCTACGCGATTGGGATACGATGACATGTGCCAACCAAGTCAGCGAGCCTGACCCCCCGATCCCGTTAGTTGCCTCTTACCACAAGCATGGGTTACTGAAGATCAATTCTAACCCGGATCTTCGCGGGTGTGGTTTGGTGCTGAAGAAAAACTCAGTAATCAAACTACATTATGAATGAGTGAGATTAGTTTCACAGAGCTTTTAGCAATATTCCAGCAATATCAGGGCGGAGGACACCAGAAATGGGCTTCACACATTGTAGCAATGTGTGGAGTCGATCCCGGGTCCTCGACGTGATGAGCGAACGCTTTAACTACTGGGCTACCCGCCGCCCAGCTACATTGTGTATGAAGACAACCTGTACATACTCGCGTCTGAAGCTGACAAATTTCAGTGACTGATGTTATGACTGACTGACTGACTGACTGAGTTTAGTTTTACGCCGCTTTTAGCAATATTTCAGCAACATCACGGCGGGGGACACCAGAAATGGGCTTCACACATTGTACCCATGTGGGGATTCGAACCCGGGTCTTCGGCATGACGAACCAACGCTTTAACCATTAGGCTACCCCACCGCCCCCTGATGTTATAAGCATCGATCCATCGGGTTATAATGAGACACTGTGACCAAAGTCACAAAGCCCGATTATCCGAGCCGATTTCAGCCAACATAGGTGGGGAGAAACCAAACCCGGTATTCGGTATACGAGGCTATGGATACCATAAACATACCGCCATCAAATACTATGTACCTCAGAAAACAGATCCACGAAATGTTAATTCAATTAACATGTTTCTACCTGAGGCAATGCTGTTCATGACAGCCTAGCAAAACATAACTAGTTACCGATTGCGTACAATGCACATCAACGCAGTTTCCTGACAAGTTAGCCATGTGAGTTCCTTAAGGACGTCACAGCTTGTGACAGATCGGGGCAAATTTATGGTGGTCATACTCTCGACCGGATACCGGTTTTTGCTTGTTCCCCGTAATCTATCAGGGCAATAGCTCCAATGAGGAAGTAAATCTAGTAATGTAGGTTAACATTCGACCCTGGCGGTTGCACGGAATGCTTCCAAATTGAACGTACGTTAACTGAAACTAAATATTTATCACTGAGCAACTTTTAAGTCTGAGTGAGTGAGTCAGTCAGGAAGGAAGAAAGGAAGGCCAGGCAACATTGTTAGTCAATCTACCTACCCAGTTATTTTCAGAAGTAAAGGGTCATGATTAACACAAAGCATTCTAAATATATATTTACTGTCAGGCTGCCCTGTATCGTAAAACTGTATCCGTGGTCAACCGGCCAGTCTCTGAGCTAGGTCAATTACAGTATCACCCATGACGGCTACAGGTCATGATAATAATAGAGAAGCTGTTGTCAATACGTTTCTATTAACAGAGCTGCCACAATGTATAACATATAACAAACTCTATTCTGTTCACATTAGTCAGCCGCCGTGATGTTGCTGGACTATTGCTAAAAGCGGCGTAAAACCAAACCAGTCAGACATTAGTCAGAAATATGTCAAAACCGATAAAACAAATCATGTCAACATTCCCACGACCATTATCAAGTTTTACTGGCTTAGTCCAGTTATTTACCAAAAAGTCTAGTTAATATATTAGAATTACCACATTCAAATTACATATAAAGTAATAGCCATGATAATATAAAGGCCGTACAACGACAGACAACCTTCATTAAAAAATACAGGAAAGGTTACCTGTTGTACCAGTTTCCACGACCAACGTTCAGAATGTGACAAGCGGTTTCACCTTGATATCTCGGTAACTTATCAGGTAGGACGTTCAATCACGGTTACATACCTCAGACGTCAAGGTCACGAAAAAAACCTGCGTCACGTCGCAACCGGCAGAGCAGGGAGTGTAGCGGCCGCGGTTAGATATCCCTGTTAAAATGAAGGCCTTTGTAACCGTTCACGTCGCTCAACATCAGTGTCCTCTCAAAGCTTTCGCTGCGATTTTGCCGAAGTGGCTGATATGTCGAGAATAAACCAACAAGGAATTACGCAATATCTGACCCGGGTGAATGTACGATTCCAAGCCTATGTCGATGCTCTTATATATACTATTCACATTTTGCTGAGGATCAAATCGTGGATTCAACAGAAAACTATGATGTGGGATCAAATTTGGTTTTAATATCTAAGCTTATCGTAAGCATGGATCCGAGGTTTCAGTTAGTCATTTCATCTTGTGGAACCCATACCTGCTATTGACAGGTGTTGTGTACTTGTCAGTGACTCGTTCCATCATTTGCAAAATGGCTGGCTGTGCATGAAAACAGTTTTTATGGGTTATGTATCAGGTGCATAAGGTTAGATTAAAGTGAGTGTTTGCCTGAAGAGGGGTTACCATATTATTATTTATCCAGTTTTAAATGGATACAATTTCAAATTATGAATCTACGTTTAAGTAAAGTTGTGAATTTTTGTGATCCCTAGCAAAGTGTGAGTAGTATAATACATTTACGGTGTCAAGAACGCTATTCGTGCTTTAACTATAATAGTTCAAGACAAAACTTTACTGTTAGTTGTACTGTAGAAGACTGTGCTTGAAAATGACAACTGACATCGTGACGTCGGTTACCAAGCGTACGTTTGAATACGACGCTGCAGACCAAAATGGCGTAATGACGTCAAACAATGTTACGTAACGCAATGCGGGTGATTTTTCGCCTGATAAGGTACTGTTGGCGCCTTTGATCTTTAAGCAAAGCATCTCAGAATCGTAGTTTCTGAAGAGGAAGAATTAAAACAAAATGCAAGCAGTGTCAACCCTAAACTTGACAGAAGAAGCTAATTGTTCAGATGACGTTATCAATTAATGACGTCATAAACAACGGAAGACGTCATATACTGTTAGCTCAATAATGAAGCACTTGCCTCTGTTGTCCAGTGAGCATGCATATTTTATAAGCTACACATCTACAAACTACATGTATTGCCACATGCTCCTGGACCGTAAGGCCTTTAAAGTAAACATTTCCGACACAGAAAGCCTTGAAATAGAAGGGGACACGAAGGTGACTCGGCTAAACTGCATTCTCAGCATACTGGATTCAGATATAGCCCTTCGTCTACTAGTTCAATTTGTAATTCTTACATGTGTTAATGATTGCCCTGGACAGAGAGGAAGTTAAAGGAAGGCTAGGAATATAAGGATGAACAACTGGTTTATTTGAACAGGGAGAGACGTTTCATTGTGGGTTCTAACATCGTTATCAAGCATGTGATGAACAGCGTTAGAGCTACACCGAAACGTCGTATTGTAATGAAGTTGTTCATTCATATATTCTTCTACTTCCTTACTACTCCAACTCTCAAAGGAGGAAGTTCAAAACTATAACAAAAAAACTAGGGATTGTAACAGTCACAATGGAGCGATGATACACATGGTTTCAAAATGTTTGCTCTGAAGGTCAAACTCGAAAGAATAACTCCACGTTAAGGTCAAAATCCGCGCAAACACAACGCACCTACAGGCAAACAACACAGTATATATCTTACCTGAAAGGCGTGTAATATACTCCGAGCTAAACCATACAGCCCAGTACAATTTATAATCCGTTAACACAAGCCAGCCTCATTGACGTCGCACCCCATCCACACACCTATAGTTCTGAAGTTAATGACGCAAGAAGTTAAGCATGTGTAACGTACCTGTCACGTACACAGTTACCCCGCATGATGTAACATGTGTAGATGCTTTCTTCATCCCCAAAAGAACGTGGCAATATATGTTTGTGTAGGTATACACATCACAGGCACATACCCTTTATTTCTGTCCTTTATTTCCCTTGTATAGATGGCAAATCACGGTAAGGTGTTTAAAGTATCTGATACCCAGACAAGAACATTAAAACTATAGTGCACACGTCAATGTCATTTCAGAATCGTATTAACGGCCCGTTAAAACACACGATTCCCGTAAATGTCTTCTCGTCCTGTTTATTTCAGCAGTGCATATGTTTATTCATGAAATTAAAACCTCTACCTTGGGATATAAGCACTATCTCGTTACTGTAAAGCTGACTACAATAACACGGTCACTGTTCCCTTTAATAAATCTCTCGTGTCTTATAAGAAATCTATAGCAGTTATACTTGTTAGCGGCAACGAAATACATCGGAAGGTTGGACTCGGGTACTGGATTCCGTATAGACGTTTGTTTGTTTGTTTGTTTGTTTGTTTGTTTGTTGTTTAACGCCGCACTCAGCAAATATTCCCTCTATATAGTGCCTATCTGTAAATAATCGAGTCTGGACCATACAAACCAGTGATCAACAGTATGAGCATAGATCTACGCAATTGGGATACGATGACATGTGTCAACCAAGTCAGCGAGCCTGACCACCCGATACCGTTAGTCGCCTCTTACGACAAGCATGGGTTAGTGAAGACCAATTGTAACCCTGATCTTCACGGGTGCCTCATAATATCACCCACCGGTTCATCTGAGCTGACACATATGTTTACACGACGTAGTACAAATATACATTGCAGCCTTGGGCATACGTGTAAAGCAAACATACCAAATCCCTCAAAAGTGTTGACACTGTAAAATACAGAGGGAAGACATACAGACATGTTTTTTACCCTCCTATCAACAAACTGATTCCAGTAGCCCTTATACATCACGCCAGACTATTCTTCCAGTGGCGTCCTATCCAGAGATACCCAATACACATTCACTCAATAGAATGCGTTATCAAACAAGTATATTCATTTATAAGTGTGGGCATATCACAAATCATAAAACCACTCCGTTCACATTTCCTGGATAGCTGTAGAATGCAAGTAGGCTAGCTCAAAAACACTGTAAGCCACCGCAAGAACAGCACTGAAATGTACACACTCATATATGTAGTAAGTATATACCTTACCTATACGTGTATCCGAGTGTACCTTCCTCACGGCCTGTACATTGAATATTGAAGCGTAGCTATGAATAATAACTTGTCAGATATGTAAACCACCCTTCACAGATCCGACATAGCTGCTATATGCGTGTACGTGTGTGAGTTTGTTTTGTTGACAAAAAACAGCGCGCACGAGTACATGACCTGTGAAGGACAGACATTGTACCATAAAAATAGCATTTTAGCGCGATTACAAGGAGTCGGGTTTCTGACAGCGTGTTCATTCACAAATGTAGGCCACGACGCGCAGACATTTGAGTTTAATCGGACTGTGGTATCCCCACAAAGATCCCGTTGTATACTACAGGACAGGGTATGTCATTATTTTCAAATGGTTTGAGCAGCTGATACTTCTATGATAACTTAACGGCCAACTGGGCAGACCAAGTCATAATGGATCCACAGTCACGGCAGTGTTAATTTACAGGAACAGATTTCCAATGTGAAGCGACGTGGAAAGAATCTTTGTCGAGTAGATGTGAGCTTTTTATATTCATATCTACAGGTATTGTAGCAGTTATGTTTTGGGCATTCCCAGGATTCCTTGCTCACCAGACCTTATCAATGTCATTCCGGACCAAAGTAGATTTCCATGTTTCTTAAAAGGGCCAACGACGGGTGGTGAATTGGTTCATTGCTTGTCATTGAACCCGAACTCGCTGTCAGTGCTCATAACATTAACCACCGGTTTGTCTGGTCCAAAAGGGGAGTGTTGCCCGTATAGTGATCATGTGACTTGAATATCGCTGACTGGGTGTTAAACTGCAAATCTGTTATCGATATGTGAATTATTGGAAACAGAGTTTAAACCGATTGTGACAAACAACCTGATAAGAAGGCACGGCTGACGGACGTCAGAGGTGAGTTACCTCCCAGTATAATCAGAAACCGAACTACTGCACAAAGCAAAAATCCCCTAGGTCATTCCCGGTGAAGGCTGAGGCTTCGTGTGGTGATATATAGACTAACACTTAGTCTCTGAGAATATATATTTTTGATTAATACAAATAATCCAATTTAAATTGAAAAGGAGACTCAGTGAGATGGAAGATTAAGAACCGGATGAAATCTAGATTTGATTCATTTAGGGCTTTAGCATAGCAAGAAGGGCTAGGCAGTAGGGAAAATAATGTACAGGGACTGTGAGACAGACTATGTGATATATTGTAGGTATGGACACTCATGTATCGGCTTATCGCAATAACGATTTAACACACTACCCTGCGGTTACTACGGGACATGACAGATGTAAAGGAAATGTCAACGTTCCCATAACAAAGTCCTTGTCGACTAAACGATCTTAGTGGTATCACAAACATACAACTTTAAAGGCTTCTATAGTCTATTTCTGTCATTTTATGTCCTAGTTTACGAGAGCTTTTTAATGTGAGGCATTTTTCGATTTTTCCTTTTCGTTTTTATAATTCAATTGTCTCGTTTGTCAGGTAATCTTTTACTGCATCATGTATGGCTGAAAATGACCATAAAATATTTCCCGGAAAATGAAGATTGTGCCTCGGGCTATATGGCTTTGAGTTTGCAGCAAAATATGACAGAAGAGAGACTGGGAGGTTTCGCATTCAACAAGGGGCGGTGGGGTAGCCCAGTGGTTAAAGCGTTGGCTCGTCACGCCGAAGACCCGGGTTCGATTCCCCACATGGGCACAATGTGTGAAGCCCATTTCTGGTGTCCCCCGCCGTGATGTTGCTGGAATATTGCTAAAAGCGGCGTTAAACTAAACTCAGTCAGTCAGTCAGTCGCATTCAACAATGTTTCATGTTTGGGAGGCCATGTGTAATATGTTAACGTCACCTAGGCCCATACGTAATCTCTGTTGTCGTGAAACCCATGGCCATGGAAATGACAGTCATGGATAGGAATCGGAGAGAATTTGGGATTCGAACCCAGGTTCACAGGAAAAGAAACCTGTCATAATTTCCCACTAGACCACACTACCAGTGAGTGGACAATACTTAATTGTCCTGTCTGTACTTCACTGGTCCGAAATAACATTCGTAGATTTACTTAAACAATTCACTGGCCACCAGGACCACTGCAAACTTACCATTTAGTGGCCCTGATGAAGTGTTACTAGCCAGGGACCACAGGACCAGCGTAAATTTCTCACACTGGATTCAGCGGATCCTTACAACACGTGTCTAACAGTGCTACGTGTCGGAGCTCGCTTTAAAGTAGGAACAGATAGTGATATTGACACACACTAGTATAATGCTACTGGTAATTTTTAGAATGCCCTCTACTCATGGCATACGTGAAGTTAAATCAAGAACTAGCCTAGAGGCATTGCGTTGTGACTAAATACATCGAAAGTGTTGATTAAAAGCTGGAATTGGTTCACAACACAATATGCGACTGAATCAATGCTATTTTCTGATCGATGTTCATATTGTAGACCGCCTCCGTGGTGTAGTGGTAAGAGCGTCTGCCCGGAGAGCGGAAGGTCGCGGGTTCGATCCCCGACCGCGTCATACCAAAAGACGTTAAAATGTGGTACTTGTTGGTCCCTGCCTGGCGCTCGGCATTAATGGGTACAACAAGGACTGGTCGGCTCGGAGTCAGTATAATGTGTCTGAGTGGGGTATTCATGCTTCACTGCGGCATGGTATCTCAGTGGGCTAGCACTATGAAACCAGTTTCAGTCTGGGCTAGTACAAGCAGCCGCACATACACATACACACGCATGCACGTCGTCATATGAGCGAAATATTCTCAAGCACAGCGTTTCACCTCACCTCACCTCATATTGTAGATCACTGGATTGTCTGGTCCAGACTCAATTGTTTACAGATCGCCATCATATAGCTGGAATATAGCTGCGTGCGGCGTTAAACAATAAACAAACGAAAACATTTTTCAGGCTCGGTAACTTAATAGGTTTGGTGGCATTGCACTTCAGCGCTCATAACATCAACCCCTTGGATTGTTTGTCCCGGTCAACGAATGGTGTAACAAAACCCTTAAGACTTGAAGAGGGACAAACGGCGTACATGCGCTATATAGAAACCAAACACGCCAAAACAATTAGGTGAAATAGAATTATGTATGATGTGTTTGAAGATACTTTAATTTGAACATTACTATTTATTGACATTATTGATTTGTTGACAGAACGTGTCCCTCGGAGCAGTAGGTCGACGTTTTCCAACCACACCAGCGTCTTTGAAAGATGGTCCTAATCTCATTAAACTCAGATCTTTGTGCACGCAGCCTCTACATCCGGCATCTTATGTCAAGATAACCTTCGCAAACTTTGATCGACCAATAAAATGACTAACAACAATCAACATTAGCAGTGGTCGCGTACTGACAACTTCTCGATTCAAAATCCGTAACATAAGAACTTTCTGAAACAAATACATCCAAGAAAGCCAATGCAAGTCTAGAATAAGTTTCTGGGGTCCTGTTCCATATACATTTTGACGATTATCTATGACCCTTTAATTCTGTAAACAAAACACTGACGTACAAAAGAAACTACACACCCGGTGCTATTGGATTACTTTCCAAAAAGTGACGTAAATGTTTTGAAAAGAGTTTATATAGTGATATATAAATCACAGACTTTCCTAATATGTTGCCAAAATACCACAGATATCGTGCCCAATTGCGAAGTTGCCAGTCAAAATCACAACATTTTTCAAATAGTCCCAAAACACCAGATGAGTACTTTCTTTTGAACATCAATTTAAGTTCATTTCAGAGACTAAGTGTCAGTCTACATAAGAACATACTTGGATGGTATATAGATGGCGCAGAATGTATATCAGTAAACATACTTCCAAAGGGCAATGCAAGGTTTCACCCGGTCAAATGTGTTTCCTATTGAAACAAGCGATAGGCAAATGAGCCTGAATTGAGTCGTACAGCCCGTGGCCGTCCCTCGGAATAAATCGTGTAGATCAGTGTCAGTGATTTTAGTTTTACCCCACAGTAAGCAATATTCCAGCTATATGGTGCCTACTGTAAATAATCAAGTCTAGACCAAACAGGCCAGTGATCAACAACATGAGCATCGATCTACGCAATTGGGATACGATGACATGTATCAACCAAGTCAGCGTGCCTGAGTACCCGATCCCGTTAGTCGCCTTTTATGACAATATGGGTTACTGAAGATCAATTATAACCCGGATCTTCACGGGTAAACGTTGTATCAAGGTTGGATGGTTAGAGTCCACTGGCAATGTTTCACTGACATTTTCCTGATCTGGTCTGAAAGGTCGTAGAACAAGGGTTCATATGAGACTGATAATGGTATTTGTTGTTACCATGCCCGGCGTTCGGCATTAAGGACATAACATGCGAACAAGTCGGGTCTGAGTATAATGTGTCTGAGTTGGGACTTCATGTTAAACTGTGGCATTGAATCTCAGTGGGTTAACACTGTAAAGCAAGCCAAACATACTCTTTAAAAAAAGTAGGGGAACTTCATTTTTGATTTGCGATTGAAAACATTGGGAGATATATCGGAGTCAATCAATGTTGATATGATAATAATGAATGTCGTGAGAGTGCATCACCACTTGCACTTCCTTATGACCATAGTTGTTGTACATTAATCGCTCTTGAAAGATGATTGGTGCATGACGTGAAATTTGCATATGTACGATTTTCATTTTAAAACAAAAAAACCCGGCTAGTAACAAACACTAACAACTGTGTGATGCAAGATGATTGTCAAAATTAATGGTCTACATTGATATATCGACCTTCTTGAAAACCGTCAAAATCAAGAATGCCACCCAATGCACGAGTATAGGGCTGTGTTGTGTTTAGGGGTGGTGATAAAGAGAAATGGTGGTACGTTCATAAGATGTCTGTGTTCTAAAAGTTTGTTTACGCTTATACTTCCTATCCAAATTGAAAGTTCACGTTCCCCTACTTTTTTTAGAGTATATAAAGCATTAGGAGCAGTAATCCTGAATGCACCGTTAATCCCATGTCTGCCCACCCTCTTGACATTGCCACATGCGTTGTCACATATGCAACCAAGTACTAATACATCATGAAGCTAAACAGTGAAGGTAAAATTTTTACACGCTTGAATGCAACTGATCAATAGTCAAGATAAGGGATAATATGTGAACAATATAATGCT